TGCAGCATTAATTACAATAACCAAGACAGGGAAACATCCTAAGTGTCCATGATAGATGAATGGGTAAAGAAAATGTGGTGTGTGTGTACACACATACACATACACACACACACAAAATGGAATATTATTCGGTACTGAAAAAAGAAGGAAACCCTGCCATTTGCGACAACATGAATGGGCATTAAGACAGAGAAAGACAAATATCATATGATCTCACTTATATGTGAAATCTAAAACAAAACAAAACACCAAACTCAAATGCAGAGAACATACTGGTGGTTGTTAGGGGGTAGGGGGTAGTGAAATGGGTGAAGGGAGTCAAAAGTATAAACTTCCAGTTATGAAATAAATAAGTCCTGGGAATGTAATGTACTGCATGGTGACCACTAACAATAATATACAGTATTATATTCTATACAGATGACCCTTGAACTACATGGGTTTGAACTGTGAGAGTCCACTTCACTTGGATTTTTTTCCCAATAAATACATACTACAGTATTACAGATCCACAGTTGGTTGAATCCAAGCATGTGGAACCTCAGATATGGGAAGGGGAGGGTGCACTGTAAAGTTATATGCAGATTTTCAACGGCACAAAGGGTCGGCACCCCTAATGCCCAAGTTGTCTAACTATATATACATATATCCAACGATTATGTTGTACATCTGAAACTAATATAATGTTATATATAAATTATATCTCAATAAAAAAGAGATGCAATCCACTAAAAACTCAATGCATGTGTTCTGCATCTTTAAGAAGCTATTACATGTTTCATTCAGAAAACATGAATTCATAAACTCTACAATGGCAAAGACAAAGTCCCAAACAAACACGTTTTACCACTGGCACCTCTTGCTTTCTCTGTATGTGGAAGGCCTGGCCACCAAACGATTAGACTTTTTTTTTCCAATGTGAAAACAAGCACCATGAAAATAAAAACCACCCAAATGGCCTTCAGTTGGCGAATGTGCAAACAAATTAGTCTATCCATGCAATGGAATACTACTCAGCAATTACAAAGGAATGAACCACTGACACCTACAACAACGAAGATGGCTCTCCATTATGACGAGTGAAAGAATCCAGACACTACCCCACTCCCCAAGATAGCACATACTCTAAGATTCCATTTAGATAAAGTCCTAGGAAATGCAAACTTATCTAGAGTGACAGAAAACAGATAGGTGGTTGCCTGGAAGAAAGAGGCCAGAGGGATTACAAAAGGGCAAGAGGAAATTTCTGGGCGTGATGGGTATGTTCATTATCTTGACTGGCATGTTGGTTTCATGGCTGTATACACATAAAACACACCAAATTATACACTTTAAACATGTGCAATTTACTGTATGACAACCGTACCTCAATAAAGCTGTTTGAAAAAGGGAAAAAGACCATTTAAAAGAAAAACTAATACATCTTCCTGGCTTGGTATATTGTCTTTAAACCACCCTCTTTTCCAAACAGGTATATGTCCTGAAAAGTCATGAAACCTTTCCCCTTAAGTGATCTGCATGCATGAACAAAACTTTAATAATCCAAAGACTTAAATATAACAATAGCTAATTAATATTTACATAGCTGTGACTATGTGCCAGGCACTATTTTAAGCATTTTTCTTACATTAACTTATCTGACCCTCATACCAGCACTATTTTAGAGATGAGGAAACTGAAGCACAGAAGGGTTAAGTAATCAGCTCAAGGTCACACAGCTGGTAGCTGGAGGAGCTAGGATTTGAACCCAGAGAGTCTGGCTCTAGAGTTCGTTTCTGTACCCACTGTGCTTACTGGCATATACAATATAAGAAACAGTATAGGAAAATCAGAAGCAATGAATACTGCACTTGCAAAATACTTTTCTTCCTCACATTCACAGAATATAAATATCCACTACATTTTGTAGCATACACAAGACTCAATAAAACACAACAGGACCTTCATTCTTCTTTTCCCAATTAATAGATGGAGGAAGGAGAGACAGAAAAGCTGGACAACTTGCTTAGGACACAGAATAAATGGCAAGTTGATTAGTTGGTCAAACCAACTAGGAAGTTGGTTTACCACATTCCCAGTCCAACTCTCTTCACTGTCTTCAAATTCCTAATTATTTTAAGTAAATCTGTAAGGGAGAAAAACCAAACATACAGCAACGTGGAAAATGTAAAAGTCATTTGCTATTTCTCAAATACCTTACTAGTTCCTGAATTCCATCCACAGGATCACAACCTCTGACTGATACTGGCCTGGAGTCTTTTTTTAAAGCGCCCCACATGATTTTCATGAGCAGCCAAAGTTGAGAAACCCCAAGACATATTAGATTTAGAGTTCTCATTTTAAAAAGACAGATGAAAGCAAGGGGCCAAAGCAGCTTTGGTAAACTACAGCCCAAAGTTTTCCAAGTTGATATTGAACTACTGAATACCTGTAGGATTTTGAGTTCAACTTTAAATAAATTAAAAATATGCACAAAGTACGAGATATTATCACAGCAAAAGTTACATAACAATACACGGGACTGGCATTCTCAACCTTTTAGAATGCTAAATTGGCATCCTGACATCAAGGTGATGGATAAAAGCAGAGAAAAAACGTGCCATATGTCCACTGCATTTAAAGCATGGAATAAACTGACCATATATTGTTTCAGAAGCACAAGTTGAAAAGAGACAGTCTTTGTCTTTAGTCCATGCAGGAATCAATGGTCTCTGAACTTAAGGTGCACTTCGTAGGGAAGATTCTTACTCAGTGGGCCTGGAGATGGAGTCAGACTGTGTTTCTAACAAGCTGCCAGGTGATGCGGATGCGGCTGATAGATAGACCACACCTGGAGCAACAAGGCCTTAAGTAACTTGAATATTGGCTGTAAAATTAGCCAGTTGGCCTACAAATGTAGTTATGTCTAGGATCCAAGAAATAACTGTCAATACGACTTATTCCTAGTCCGGGGGAAAACAAAAGGAGGGGAATAGAGGAAGGAGCAAGCGAATACTTGTTATTTGTTTGTATAGCGTAGCAGGACTAAGAACCATAGAATACTGTTACTTGCCCCGACCCAGTAGCTGTCAAGGTGACAGAATGTAAGCCCCATGAGATAAAGGGGTTTTATTTTAATTTACACAGAATCACCACGGCCTAGTACACACTAGGTACTCAACAAATGTACTGAATAAGTGAATGAATAAGTATATACAAACACAATCTATATTTATGTCACAACCCAAAAAATGTCTGGGAAGGGGAATCTATCAGTACATATAGGTGTTTAATACAAATACCTGGCCCACTCACTGTACTCCATTTTGTCCCCCCCGCCAAAAAAAAAAAGAATTTTCCAAACCAACATTTCCACTGTCAAGCCCAGGCTTCCCGCACCCTTATGTTTTGTTTTGTTTTGTTTTAAAATTTATTTATTTAATTACCCTTATGTTTAAAACAATGGAGAGAGGTGGAAGCACAGGGAGAAGGATTCAGAAAAGGTTCACTAATCAAAGGAAAAAACCAGAGTGGGAGAGGAGATGGGCAAACAGTTTAGTTCAAGGGAAGGAATATCTTAGGTTGTCAGCATTTCCAAGTTCTTACCTATGATGGTGAGAGGGTTTGGGTTCGGGCTTTTATTTGTTTTGTTACTGTCCAGAGTAACTGGTGAAGTAGTACCTGGCTGTACAGCAGGCTCTCAAGCCAACCTTTAGAAGCTTGGGAATTCGCGTTTCCTGCTTACTTCCCGCTTCCCCGGGCTCCCGGCGCGTAGAGGAACTCTGCCACCGCCCAAACACAAGATGACCTGAGCTGCTTCACTGTGGATTTGAAGCCACAACCAGGATTTAAGATGGCGGCGAAACACTAAGCGAGCGGCCCGGGGAGCGCGCGGAATCTGCCCAAAAAAAAAATGGCCTCCGAGCAGGATCTCGCGGTTTTCAACGAGAGCCCAAAACAAAAATGGCGGCAAAAGACAACTACGTAGGGGCCGAGAACGAAGTGAACATGATTGGTCCGTGAAGAATCAGTTACCCACTGTGCTAGACAGCGGGGGTGATCGAGAGAAAAATAAAACGCAGTATTCCTGTAGTACAGAGTGCTGCTTCTTTTTTTTTTAAATATCTTTATTGGAGTATAATTGTTTTACAACGGTGTGTTAGTTTCTGCTTTATAACAAAGTGAATCAGCTATACATATACATACATCCTCATATCTCCTCCGTCTTGCGTCACCCTCCCACCCTCCCTATCCCACCCCTCTAGGTGGTCACAAAGCACCAAGCTGATCTCCCTGTGCCATGCGGCTGCTTCCCACTAGCTATCTATTTTACATTTGGTAGTATATATAAGTCCACGCCACTCTCTCACTTCGCCCCAGCTTACCCTTCCCCCTCCCCGTGTCCTCAAGTCCATTCACAGAGTGCTTCTTAACCCCGTAAAATTACTAGCACAAGGATGGAAAAAGTCTCCCCAATCTTTGAAGGGCAAGATTATAGAAAACACAGGTTGGAAAGTAAAGGTGACTTTCACAATGCCGGATAAATTTTAAAATAGCCAGGAACATAATTTCTCCCACAATTCTTTTGAATAGTACAGGGGAATACAATTTTTGTCCTCGAACGAAAAACAAGGATGGGGACGTAGTGCGCAAATTATCTAATTGGTGAAGGGCACAGAAACAGAGGACTTCTGAACTCCCCGTAGGCCCCCAGACGGCGGACTAAGGGCAGAAGCTGTTAATTGAGCGCCACCAGCTCGCACTGCGCATGACCGCTCTCCAACACGATCCACAGAAATGGTCGCTGTTGAGTCCTTTTCTCCAGGTTTTCCAGGCAGCCATAAAGGAAGGCGGGGAGTTGGCGATGAGCAACAAAATCCGTCGCTCTGTGATTGGTCAAATGAAGGAGGGCCGAGAGCCGCCGAGAACAGTCGCTCACTTTTTCGTTCAATAAGTGCTTCCCAAGCGCGCGCCAGAAGGAAGATACCGTGCCTTAACAAGTGCATTTGATCTGTTATTTAAGTTTTCCAGTTTCAATAACTTGCTGAGATTGACACTGAATAAGCTCCGCCCCCTGTTCTTTCCGATTCCAGCCACCGCGTTCTCGGCTGAGAACATCACGAAAACCCGGAGAAGAGAAATCCGAGTGGGACCGGCGCCAACCACAGAGCTGCGCGTGCTCCGTCTCCAAGCTCGGGGCGCGAGTTGCCAGGACTGGTGGCTGCGGCTGCGTGGTGCTCGGCTTCAGGGGCCTGCGGGCGGCGGCTGACGGGGCGGCGCAGCGGCGGGTGCGCAGGTGAGAGTGGCGGGGTCGCAGGTGGAAAAGCCGGCACTCTACCCGGCCGAAGAGAGGAGTGGGGGGCTTGTGGGCGCCTCCTCCCCGCTCGGAAAGGTCACTGGTGTCACTGAAGGATATTTGGGGGCGGGGAATAGGAGGAGGCTGGTTCCTTAGAAAGCTGAAGATCTACCTTTAAAACAGCTGTTGGCAGTGAATCCTTGCTGCAGGAAGGAATGTAGATGGCGAGGAGGTGTTCCAGTGGTGTAGGTAGAGTTCCAGGTATAGACCCTTCTCTCTCTCCCATCTGCGCGGCACCATAAAGTAGAAGGAAAAGGTGTCCCAGTGAAAGCACCAGTTGCACCTGCGCTGCCACCTGTGTATGTCTGGGAGGTGAGAGCCACCCTCTGACGTGGAACTGGATGTCAGAACTCTGTACAGCGTGGTAGTACCAACTCTGAAAGCAAAAGCAGGATTCGGGGCTTTGAAATCTTTTTGAGAGGGAGACCTCCTGAAGTCATATACATCTTCCTCCCAAACTGGACCATCCACAAATCCTGTTGCTGTTTCAGAGGCTCTCTGTACCTGCAGTTTTTCCTTCATTAACGTCATCAGTTTATATTCGTATTTGTCACACTGTACTGAGTTAGCAGATACAGCAGTGACCAAGACAGGCATGGTCCCTGACCACATGGAGCTTATATTCAATGATGGAAGGGGAAACAATAAACAAGCACATTGATAAATGAACAAGATGTTTCCAGATTGTCCTAGATTGGGTTCCCTGGGGAGCAGACTCTAAGGAGATTTGTGGGCAGGACATTTATTAGGGAGGACTTTTTGGATCTTACCAAGGAAGAAAGGAAGCAGGATTGGGTGGATAGAAAAAGTTGAGCTGTAATGTAGTCCCAAGGAGGGTCTCCACCAGTCTCACAGGAACTCCGGTGCTGGGTTGGGCCTTCATAGTTGGCCCAAGTTGGATGAACCGCCAGGCCTTTGTACCACTGCAGTGACCAGTCATTGGATACCCATTGCCCTGGAAGGAGGGCATAACTTCAACTCTCTTCATCCAGTCAGTCCTGTCTCAGCACTACCAGGAGCTTTAGTCAAACAGGAATCTCCAGAAGTGCCTGTTTTTATATATGATTTGTACTGAAGATATTGTACGTACAGTAATAATAATCACTACCATGCATTGAATACGTCTCACGTATTAGACACTAGACTAAGCAATAAATACATAGATATATACTTAGAAATCCTCATTATATAGCCTCATGTTACAGACTATGAAATTGAGGCAGGAAAGAAGTAATTTGCCTAAGATTGTAACTTGTGCGGGAGGTTAGAATTTGATTTCCATCGGTACTCAAAGCTTCATCACACTAGGACTCTCATGTTTAATCACTGGCAACTTTAACTTCATTAACTGTTATCAGAGAAATAAATATGAAACTCTCACCCTGTCTTTGCTATTTTGCTCTGTCCTTGAGTTTTCCGGTTTCCTTCATGATTAGCATTCCTGGCCCTCACTTTAGGAGCCTGAGTGTTATCTTTTCTATAACATCCTGGAATCTGATTACAGATCTACCCTACTCTAATCAAAATAGCCCCGAAGACCTCAGAACCTCTTTCTTGAGAATCTGGGGGTTTTATTCACATCTGGACTAACTGAAACTGCCTATAGTTTATGGACCCACTTGCCTTAGTCATTCCAGACCTCTCTTTCTACACTCAAGGTTGACACCAGTAATGTTTTTTTTTTACCTTTTGAAATAATCAAAATAATAGCTAACAGTCACAGGGTCCAGTCTGAGTGCCAGGTATTGTGATAACTGCACAACAGCCTTGTGATGGATGTCAATATTATTCTCATTTTATGGGTGATGGGACTGAGGCATTGTGAGGTTAGGTGACTCATCCAAGGTCACAGCCAGTTGCAAAGTGGTAAGGCAGAGATGGAAAGCCCAGGCAGTAGGATTCCACAACTCATCCCCTTAATCACTACACAACAATATGTCCTTACTAAAATAATTTGCTGTGCTTTCCCTTCTGGAACTAGATCCTGGTGGGCTTTTTGTGCTGTACTAAGAAATGTAGGTTTTACCTTCTAGTCAAAAATGTCACTGAAGGCTTCTAAGCAAAGCAGAAACATGAATGTATTTGTTGTTGTTTTCCCCAAGATGGCTGTGTTAAGAGGGTAGAGAATGGATTAGTGGGCAATAGACTCGAACAGTGGTTCTCAGACTTAAGCTTCAGAATTACCTAAAGAATTTGTTAAAACACAGATTGCTGGATCCCAACCTAGAGTTCTGATTCAGTAGGTCAGGAGCAGCCCAAGATTTTGCATTTCTGATAAATTCCCAGATGATGCTACTGCCTGTGGTGAGGGGACCACACTTTGAGAACCATTGGACTAGAAGCGAGGAGATCATGAGGTAATGAGGGTCTGGACTGTAGCTGTGGGGAGAAATTACATAAAAGAAATGTCACTTCAAATGGAGGATTGAGTGACTGACTTGATGAGGAATATAAGGAACAGGGCAGAGTCCACTATATCCAGATTTTCTAACTGAATGGCATGGCAGATAATGTCTTTTTTATTTTTATTTATTATTTTTTTTTTTTGGTAATGCCTTTTTTTAAAAAACAAAACAGGAAGCAGAGGAGGAACAGCAGTTTGGGAAGGAAAGAGGATTCGTCTTTATATGAGATGAGATTAGACACTTGTGAGGAATAACAGTGGGATAAGTGGGTTTAAGCTGGAGATGTAGATGTGGGAGTCATTGGTGGATGTGTTAAAACAGAAGCTTTGGATGTGAATGAGGCCACCCAGGAAACGAACACGTGGGGAAGACGGCCCAGGGCAGAGCTTTGAGAAGGGGGAGTAGGTGGATGGAAACCAAGGGGTCATTAAAGGAGACTGAGAAGGATCAGGCTAGTCTCAGGTACGTACAGAGTTTTAAGAATTCATCAGAAGTGGTGCAGAGAGATCACGGAGAAAGGGAGAGATTGGCGATCTTTATAGTCAGGGCAGTTTCCATGGAGAGTGGGGCAAAAGCAAATTACTTGGGTTTGAAGATGGAAGTGGCAGTGGCTCTAGAAACATGCATTATTTGAAAGGAATCAGAGTGTGTAGTACTGGAAGGAAGGCTGGTAAAGGGCAGCTACATTGGGGAATTTGTTTTTGGTTCTTTTCAATGGAGAAAAATGGTCAGGTTTTGCATAGGAGGAAGACCAATTCCAAGTGGGAGGTGGAAGGTAGAAGAGGGAGGTTAATGGAGGTGGAACCGTGAAGACACAGCAGCACGTGGGACCAGCTGGAGCACAGATAACAGAAGTGCCAGGCCTTCCTCTGAGACACTGAGGAAGGAGGTGAAGATGGGAGCTGAGGTGGGCATGTGGGAGCAGGAAGTGGAGGGGCTCCTACCCAGTAGCCACGGTTTCCTCTGGCCAGTAGGTTACCTGCAGAAATGAAGGTAGAGAGTAAAATAGAAATCTCAGAAATGAGGAAGAGAGAAACCAACCCTTTTGGGATTCAGAGCTGACCAGGGGAACATAAAGCCATTGCTGCGGTACTAAGGGCCCAGTCAGCTGCACACTTAATCTGGAACAGTCTGCCGTCTGCATGGTGCCCAGTCCCCTTCCTCTACCAATCTGGGCATCAAATGGCAGCCAGATGTAAAGACAGTGAAAGGGGATGGAAAGATTCTCAGACAACTCTGTAAACTTTATAACAGCGTTCCAAACCTTTCTGATAAACCACAGCCTGCCAGTAAGACTGTCTCTTCCTCATTAGTCACTAATCAATCACTCACTTGTCACATCTTAGGCTGTTGACAGTTAGTAAAGCTCCCCTATAAAATCTGTGATGCTTTCAGTATATTATTTATTTATAAATACATTGAATTCACTGTAACAGTGGGGGATAACCGAGATCATGAAATGCTTACACATAACTTGACCTTCACCGTACTCTGTGCGTACTCCTGACCCGCTCCTGATGAGGCTGTGCTGTCAGCAGCCCAGCTACTGCCTGTAGGTCAAGGTAGGGGTAGGATTTTGCGGAATGGAAACTTTAGAACTCAGGTGTAGTCCATTCAGTTCATCGAGAATTGACAGTAACGTTTTTGGTACCTGTGTTTTTCCAAGACTGGAAAAGCTCAGCAAAGCTGTTATTTTAGGTGATGTAGTTAGAAAAGAAAAAGAAAAAAGGAAGCTATTGTTCTCTTTAGCACGCCAGTCAGTTGAATAGGCCTGAAGACAACATGCAGTCCTTTCTAATGGGTACACAAAAACTGCCAAGATGTGAACTGCTGTATTAACAATTGAGGATAAAAAGAACTATTTTCAGGGTTAGTTATTGGAACTCAGGAATGAAGAATTCACAGATCCTTAAAAACCAACATTGCCATGCTAAAAGAAAAGGCATTGTACAATTCCAATAAACTTCATCGAATATGGCAGTCACAAGAGCTGGGTTAATTAATTGTTCAACATTCTGTTTAGCGTTCTCCATGTTTAAGTTACATTCAGTAGTTTTTAAAAAATTGTTAAACATTACTGTTTTTTCCCAAATACTTTAAGCAGAGCAGCAATGAAGACATAAAGAATTTACCTTACACTGTGTCCAAAAGACCAGCAGGTGGCGTCCAGCAAGCCCAGTAGGCAAAATGAGAAACTTCCACAGAGTATTTCCTGCATCCACGTTGTAGGCCTAATCAGTAGCAAAGAGTGGCGGTTTTAATTGACCTGATGCTCCATAGAAAGAGTAATCTGATAGCCAGAGCCAGGTTGTTTAGGATTTCCTAGGGAGCTTAACTGCTTTTTTGCCCTTCTTTGCCCTTCACCTTACTGACCAGTTCTAGCACCAAGAAACCCTCCTTTGGCTTGGAATGTAACAAGTTTCAGTAAGCCTGTCAGAGGCCTTAATGGTAGAAATTGAAGAGCTGGTAATCTCTGTAATACAAATTGAGGGGAGGGAAAGTTGCTGTTCTAGACACATTAGTGCCTTAAATGTA